ATTACACCTGTTCCTTTCTTATTCGATAATCAAACAGCACAAACACCATTATATTTTTTTAAAGTACTCGTAAATATCCAGATTCCAAAAGTTCAGCAGCAAGCTTACTGTTCATCCCAATCTAGCAGTTGCAATTGCACAATGAAAACTAAAAGACGGAAAGAAGGAAAAGAAAGGTGAAATAATACCTACTTTGGCGTTAGTAATAATAGCGGTGGAGAACTCCTTTTGGTTCTGAAGTTCAGGTTCAAACCAGTAGGTATACATAACAGTCTCATTTGCTAATATTTGATTTAAAATATTCGATGTCAAACATGTGTCATTTATACTAATGTAATCAAAATGAGCCGTTTTTTAAATAAATACGGAAAATCGAAAGAAATGTTTACAAAAGTGCGCAGACCAGTGTTCATACATTCGCTCTCTTTTCGGGGGATATCTGTACCATGGGAAAACAAAATAACCAACCTCACGCTCAACATTAAACTCACTTTTGGCAGACATATCCAAGGGATTTTACGTGAAGGGCAGAATTGCCATTAACCCGTAAAAAGCAGTTGTTTTATTGCAGGACCTGGATGATCTGAGGGATTTTGTTAAGACAGTTTGGTCTGACAGGTTGATTAATACAATGTTCGTTAAAAGGAACAACGAGGAAAGTAATTTTAAAGTGGGCCTGCCAGTCAATTTGTAAGCCGATTGCATGTCTGGCCGGCAAATGTGGGCGTTATTCTCCTCTATTCAAAATCCTTCAGTTGGAGGCCAAAAATGGCCGTTTTTGATTTGTGGGGTTAGGGGTGGAAATGGAGTCACGTACCCGGTCCTGGGCGGGGGTGCGGAAGTGAGTTCCGTCTGTGATGGTGGGGGATGCCACCCCCAGACCGAGTTATTGATTGGGCGCCGGCCCTGTCCTAACCGAAATACACCAGCCAAGGTCGTCTCAAGGACACACCCACCCTCGGTGCCCTTTCAACATCCGGGAAAATTTCAACTCTTGTTTTAAAAATTCCTTTGAATTTTCTTTTCTTTTTCTTTTTAATTTTTGATTGTAAGGGGTACAACCTAAGGCCAATCTTACTCACATTATACATTGCTGACATTCCTGTTCTCCCTAACAATATACTATGCACATTTCCTGACAACACAGCCTTCCAATAGAATATCTGAACATCTTCCTTTCTTTGTTTCGCTAATAGGATACAAATAAATGAAAACAAATCCAGTCATGTCATTCATACTTTACGTTGGGAAAACATGAATTCTTTAGTGGTATCGGTATTTCGCCTTTCGACACTTATACTTTTGTACTCGATAAGTTTGGTAAAGTATTGAAATGAAGTAAATGGGTTAATCCATAACAATTTGTCATCGGAAAACAGGATACAGGACCGACGAGAGTGACCCTGCCTATACCTCTAAAGTGGAGGAGTTTTGGAGTCACCACAAAAATTTGTTAAGTTGTCAAAATTTAAGGAGAATTAGCTTGAGAGAAAAACTATTACTCTACTTTTTGAAATCACATTTCAAATAAAAATTGATCCTCTCAAATACTCTCACACGCTCTCTCTTTCTTTCACGCTCTCTCTATCCCTCTCTTTCTTGACACAAAAAAAAATCCTATTCGCTATATACGGCAGACATAAAATAAACTATGAATCACTAATCTGGTCAATCAAAGCTCAACACAAACAATCTACCCAAATATTAGGCAACAGTAATCAATCCGACACCCATTCTCTGAAATGGGGATTGTCTACATAATCTCGGAGACATACATCGCTTGGGATACAAAGAAAACCCAGGAATGAAATTGGAGCAGCAACAGTCAATGACTTAATACCTCTCAGAAGAAAGATCGAGTCGATTGCACTGATGTAGAGAACTAGGAAGGAACCGTAAGCCAGAAGGCTGCAGTGCCTGGAGAGCGAAAAACCCCACTTCCTAGGATCCATCATCATCAATTTTTTCGTGAATAAATTTTAAATTAATTACCATTAAAGTATGTAAGTATTTTTCTTTGCAAAAGTGTGTGTTTTGCCATTTCAGCCTTCATACGTTTTTATAATATAAACAATAATAAGATTAGTGTTTTATTGCAATCAGCTTTCAACAATAAAACCCAATGAGTCCAAAAATAAATAATGACAAAACATGAAGCGATATTTTTTATTTATTGTTTTATTCTATTTGATTCAAATGAACTTTTGTTACTTCTACAGAAATGTTTGCTTAATCTTGAGTATTGTTTACATTTTTCACGTAACAATTGAACAAACTATTAAAAATTTAGTGTAAATGTATTATGAACAATGACGTGTGAAAGTTTCTTCATTTCATTTACATATAAAAATATTAGAGGTATTCTTCGTGATAACCCTGTTATGTCTGTTAGGTCCTGTTAGATCGAGAAAAATTATGACGTCGACTTCTAAGACTCGGCTAGTTAACATTGCTCGATCTAGCAGGCCAGAACCAATGTTAGGTGTTAGGTCGAAAATGTAGTCACATTGATATCCGTTAGGGCGTGGGTAACCAACATGGCAGCCATGGATTTACCAGCTGTTTTTGTTTACAGGTATTTTTATTCTTAAATACGCATTAATCAAATCAGACCAATTTCTTTTGTTATTTTCTGATTTGTCCTTATACTCATTAATAATAGATACATCCCCTATCCTATAAAGTTTTAGGCTGTTAGGCGTTAGGATACAAGTTATGTATGTAGGCTCGAATTGAAGCGTGTCATTTGTTAGTACTTTTCGAGTGCATAGCATTTTGAATGAAAGAGTTGATTAATTTTCCTCTTTCATTAATTTCTGGCATCTTACAGGTTAACACAAAAGAAAACCAAATCAAATAACAACAAGCCTTCTGAGGCTGTTATAGCTTTATTTTTGGTTCTACCAATCGCCACGCGGAACATTGCGGAAAAATTAACGTTTAACATGCTAAGGAAAGAAGGGGGCGTTCACGATCTTACTGGACATTTCACTACTCTAGTTAACACGAGTTTAATTTTGAAGGGGTGGGGAAGGATGTCGGTATAGAAAAGACATTTTTGTATAAGGCATAAAATGTTTTTCTGGAACCTACATCACACCAGACCGCATCTCATGATTTCTATTTTCTATCGACCTATCGATTAACGGTCACTAATCACCACACATTTATATTCTATTTTAAAATTACCAGTAGAAAACTTGTCGCCTGATTTCTTGTGCAAATTTTGGAGTGATGCAGATCCATTGTTCGATTGTTACAGATTTACGTTAATCTTTATTTTAAAAAATCCTATTATTTTTGGCAATCCTTGAAATCAGCTGAAGGAGTTATAACTTTTCTACGCCACTGAATCGATTTGAGGCCAGGCGGATAACGTCAGGAAAAATTTGGAACGGCTTTAAAGATTTATTGCGCCGGTTACGTTAAAAATTTGGCCGTATCGATCAGGTTCAGTAAGGGTTGTGTTTAGATAACGTACTTGGACAGCATGGTGGCATGGGTGGCCCTAAGGTGGATGGTGAAATTTACCTTTTTTTCCGATTTGTCCCATTTTTTCCATCTGCAATGCTAATTAGTATTGGGGTCGTAGTATGTAGTAGTTGTAGAAAAAGTATTTCGTAAATAATATAGTACTAAATAGAAAAAATTTGAGTACTGGTCTGTTTAATATCTTTAAAATTTATACATAGACGATAGAGCGGTGGATATATCAGTCTGGTAGCGGAAAAGTAGATCCAATGAAACACGATCAATTCGGGCTCGTCTAAAATTAAATTATTTTAATGTATATATGTTTAGTAACCACAATTAACAATATTAATTATTTCAATTGATTATACTTTTTATCATGGTCAAGGTTGAGATGAAAAAGTTAGTTTCACGAGTGGGATTCGAACCCACGATTGAAGTCACGATAGGTAAAGTGGTTGGAGCAACGGCGCATTGAGCCGAAGGTCAAGGGTTCGAATACCGCTCGTGACACTAACTTTTTCATCTCAACCATGACCATAGATAAAAATGCAATTATACTTATACGTGAAATTATATCAATCAATTTTCTAAAATAAAACTGAATGTTAAAGGAAGAAGCCCACAAAGAATTCATTACCTAAACAATCTAGTAATAATATTTCAACCACATTTCGCTAAGATCAGACAGTCGTCGTATAACTTGTTCCTCCAGTACGCGCATTCAAAATACCCTTATGTCACATCCAACCTGGAAAAATCCTACAAAATCCCTTTGCATCGATTTCAATGGCGTGAAATTAATAATAATGGTCCTTTTGTTTACATAAACCTGTTTACATAGTTTGCAAAGGATTATAATCCGTTTAAATCCGATTTAATTTTAGTATTGATTTCAAAGCCGGTCGTGCATTTTCCTTGTACGATATTGGAACTCCAGAGGCAGTCGTCGATTTTATTCCCGGTAACATTTTCTTTTATTCATCTGATCTACATCAAGGCAGATCTGAAAAACTGAATCCAAAGGCGTCAGTTATGATTACGGGATCTACGTTTGGTCAATGCATCTCGTCATTCCATCGAATAACGAATAGTGCCTGCCCGTATGCCTCCTGCATGAAATGAGATTTGAGGTAATAATTTACATTTTTTTCCAAGAGAGTTTATAATCATATGTTTTCTACCCTTTCAAGATGGTTCTAAACTGAGGTAATGGGCTTTCAAATACGCATAACCTTCAAAAACTTGCTAAGCAAAGATATAAATAAGGAAATCATGAGGTCCAACGTCCTAAAGGTTATTTCTACCCAAATTCTCTACCCAAGCATACATACGGTCTTAGTATTATAGATTGATAAAAATCAGTTATAATCTAGGTATAGGTAATATTCTGCAGTTCTTCTTGGACAGACATATATAGAAGATAAGATGTTTGGCATTCAATGGATATAAGAGCATTTGATTTTTAATTGTACAGTTTTCTATTTAAAATGCTAAGCTTTGGTAAGCAGGTAATTGTAGCACTAAGATACTCCATTGAATATATTTCGTTTTTGATAAAGATAGTAATCGCCTAAAAGTTAAAATTCATCGTCGTAATTCTCTCTGTTTATATCCCTGATGATGGGAGCTTGTACTGTAGTCTGTTCAGTGCCATATATTTAAAGTTTTTAAGGAAAAAAACGAAAAATCATGTTGTGAATGTTGCAAATATTTTGCATAGGCCTTACGAAGAACATTTTGAACTATGTTTTGCAATTTGAGCAACTTTTACTGACTCAGAGATTTGCATTCAGTCAATACAATGTATGTACACATTATTGCATATACATACGAGTTGTTGTTGTAATATTCTAAAATTTTCAGAATTATGATTTTAAAAACTTGCCATGCATCCTCCCAAATAATTGAAATTGATAGAATCAACATATTAATTCCCTGGTCCTAACATCTACCTAATAACAAATACTAATAGTAAGTATAACAATTAAATATAACAAATAATAAAAGCAGTAAAAATAAAAATCTACAAATACAGACAAATTCAACTAATTAATATGAATAAATATAGCTAATAATAGTAGTATATAATAACAATTTAAATATTCTCCTACCAGGCATAGATACTTAGTTTAATAGCTCTTATGAGGAAGTACAATATATGAAATGAAATGAAAAAATTCTTTATTGAATTAGTCTTAATTTGCAGTTGTGATGCATGCTGAGATATTACCAACGTGCGAAAGCAAAGGGGCTTTATAACCTTCAACATGTTTATCCTGCAACGATTATATAATCATTTTACTTACAGTTTACATATTAGCGGAAAAAACCGTAAAATCGAAAAGCACAAATGTACATAATCAGTTATAATAAATAAGTGATTAGTTGAATAAATAATTTAATAAATATATAAGTAATGAAATTAATAATGCATAAATAAATAATTAGAAAAATAAATAGATGAAAATACTATGTGTACACATAAGTTATTCAGTGTTGTACAATATTTCGTTTGCCTGATTTTCATTTTCCATTTGTTTCTTACTTGTTTTATTTCCACGAGTTCCACATACTGTAGTTCCGCACAATTGTGCACATTTTAAAACTGCCTTTTTAGGTCGGCCTCTTACAGAATCATAAATAAATCAAAATGAAGCGATCGTGCGAGGACTTTCCTGGATTTCGATCGTATTTAACAAGATAAAAAATGCAATATTGGCAGAAGTCAGAAGTGCCTCACCTCACCACTTCTGGGACAACTAGAAACATACATAAAAAACTTAGGGTTTGAAATTCGAGATGTTTATTGTAAAATAAATACATGCTACATTATCTCAACGCTTGTCAAGGCCTCGTCTACAATCTCAACATCCTGAATATGCAACGGGTTTTTTCTACATGTAGGATATCTTAAACTTCTGATAAACCAGTGGGTATGATTACAGTTTATATTCGGGTACTAACTGGCTAAACAACCGTTTCACGAAAAAAGAAAATGCATAAATAACTGGTAATTAATATGCTACAGGAAACGGTAAATTGATATATTATAGCTATTCATAAAGGGTTCTGTACCGAAAAAATGAGTTAAAACATTAACATAAAAAAATTATATCTAAACACGGAAAAAGATGGAAATTTTTATTTTTTATTTTAGTAATAAAAACTGGACATTTCATTTTGGAACAGGACAGTATAAATAGAGGATTTATTATGGAAATGGAGATAAAAGGGAAAGACCTGCTCTCTTCGTGTTTTGTAAAATCAACATTTCCTCTTAAAAAGCCATGGAATCCTAAACCCTTTTGAAACATTTCAAACCGGCAATTGACAATATTCTCAGCGATTTATTAAATCACGGTCTAGAAAAATGTGGTTGTTTTTATTGAAATGGGTTTAACTCGGAAAGACCTTTTTAGTGTAAAAGCTTTCAAAAATCGTCACTAACCCATTCGACATCATTAGACGGTAGTGCACGAAGACAATAAAAGTTTTATGACGGTGAATCCTTGTATTTTATATTTTCTGTTATCTAAGGCTCATCTATAAAAAAGCATGTTCCTCCTAAAAAGTTTTCAATTTGAAACCTTTTGTAAATTACAAATCAACCTTCAATCAATCCAGCAATAAAAACAGAGGCTTTAAACGCAGTGGTAGACAGAAAACAACTACAGATTTTATTTTTCCTTAAAAGTATCTAACCGTAGGATTAAAAATAATCTATTTCAATCATTTGTGCTGAAACAAAAGAAAACAACAAAACAACGCTCATTCAAATAGCGTGAAAATGCAAAAATGTAGGCTGCCCCTTCGTTAATTAACAATCAAAATAAATTCTACATAAAATTGGAATAATATTAAAATTTACAATTTTAATTTTTTAACCAAATATGAAAGAAGAGTATTGTTCTGTTATTAACCAATTTTCTTCAAACCCAGCAGCAGCTACGACTCAGATCTGTTAAACGAACCCGGAGAATAAATATTTGGTGCATGACATTTTTTTTAATCCTAGTAATTTTTTATTTTTAGGTGCAATTATGGATGTAGATCGAGGATTTGGTCCAATGAACGGAACTAATATAAGTATGCCAAGATTCTGTCAATAGTAAGATATATAAACAAATAGCTTTATTAACATGACTGTATTAACCTATAAATTCTGGGAAAAGAAAAGCCTTCCTGATAAATGCCTATCTCGAAGAGGTTTCGTACATTTGATCTTTTTATAAAATTGACAATTGCCCGATACTCAAACTAGGTTATGAATCTTTTAGTTTCGGAATGCAGGTAATAATCTCTTCTTCAAGATTATTCAGAAATACCCCCTTATACAGCAAATTCTATTTTTCTAAGAGATATTCGCTCGATCTGCGTATCTCATTTTCCCAGATGGCTCGAAGTCAATGGATAGAATAGGGTGCACCTGGTTTGACTCTCAATTGGGTAGAAATGAGAGAGAGATTTCTTTCTTCTTTAATAAATGTCTATTCAGCGGAGCTCATTGGAATTTTGAAAGCTGTACAATACTTCTGTGAAAATGAACTAACAATAAGTTTTAATTAATTAAGGTTTTTAGTTGAGATGAAAAAAAGTTAATGGCACGAGAGGGATTCGAACCCACGACCTTCGGCTAGATACGCCGCTGCTCTACCACCTGAGCTATCGTGACCTCGATCCACTCGGACATCAACTCCCCATCTCAACCCCACCTAATGAGTTTTCCCTCCTTTTGCCATTTTTCAAATGTCGTGTAATCGGTTTGGATTCTCGACGACAATTGAAATGGCGACGGAGAGCTTTAGTGAAGTGTACTTCAGTTAATTCATTAAATTCACTAATTTCGTGGTCGGCTTGACCAATTAACCGCCATTTCAATTGTCGTCGAGAATCCAAACCGATTACACGACATTTGAAAAATGGCAAAAGGGGGGAAAACTCATTAGGTGGGGTTGAGATGGGGAGTTGATGTCCGAGTGGATCGAGGTCACGATAGCTCAGGTGGTAGAGCAGCGGCGTATCTAGCCGAAGGTCATGGGTTCGAATCCCTCTCGTGCCATTAACTTTTTTTCATCTCAACTAAAAACCTTAATTAATTGTAATGTTTAATTGGTCAAGCGGACCACGAAATTAGTGAATTTAATAAGTTCTAAATCGATCATGTTGATGATGGATTCAAAAAATTCTTTGGCAAACTTAAAAAACCTCAATTTTGTCGGGAATTATTTAATAGCTTGGGTTGCAAAAAGAGAATTGGAAAGGGATGAAGGTAACAACATGTTTTTGGGTAAGGAGTCATTCCGGATTACAGGGAATTTTAAGGTTGATATCCTTGCATCCTAGCTGTCTATATTACGCTTCAGGATACAAAACTCAGTATCAACGCCAAGATAGTTAATGATGCAAATATTGTGAGAAAATGTGAGTTTGTACATAAATAAACTCCTTGTTAAATACCCATTCCTGGTTCCATGGACGGGCCTGGACAAAAAGTGATGGTACAATAATAACCAGGCTTGTGTTGGGCGATAGCATATGTATGGTTTAAAATAGCACAGCGCAGTAGTCATTTATGTAACACGATTGATGATTTTGAGTCTTTGTCGTGACGGCTTGCTCATATGGGGAGGAGTGAAAAATATTGCTGGCCAGAATATATGGGTATTATTACACCGGTAAACTACAAAATCTTGCTCCTCTTAAACGACGTACAAATATATACATGCCTATTAGACTTTGTTTTTCTGTGCGGGAAAATGGTAAAGAATAGAAATGAATATCCGAACGCATGCAGTGGGGCGTGGTACTGGAGGTTCTTCTGGGGGCGGTCGGCCAAGTTGCTGCTGTCTAGTAGGTGTGGGAGGTCAGGCTTCCGAGCACGTTTGCCTCCGGGGTCTTGGAGGTTTGAACTTTTCCCTGATTGCTCGGAAACAAATGGTTTTTGTCCACACCTCTAAAAAGACCTACGTAATGAAAAATATCCGCATCTGTCTATTTCTATGACTAATGTAGAAACATAAGGTTAAAATATATATTAAAAAAAATAATTACGTTAAAAAAAGAAATGAAAAAAGTACGTTTTACTAGGTTTCAGCGTATGTACTTCGCCATTCTCAGGACACTACAATTGGTAAACAACGTTTTTAATTGTTAACAATACTACCATGTACAACAACAAATTTTTCTAAATGGTTTTGTAAATCATTTGTATATTACCTTAATATAATTTATTGTAATAATTATATATAATTTATTAATAATAATGGGCACTCTCAACACGACACGCAAGGTTTGCACAATTACACAGAAGACAAACTCTTTGAGCCCTGAAGATGATCTCAATAAAAGATCGAAACGTTGGCACGATAAAGAAAATGTTTTTCTGAAACCTACAGCACACCCGACCGCATCTCACGATATCTGAATAACTATCGATTAACGGTCACTAACCTCTACACATTAATAATAATAAATGTTGTTTACCAATTGTAGCGCCCCGAGGAAAGCGAAATATATAAGCCGAAAATTCGGGATCATAATCCTAAAACAACCAATAAAACAAATGTATGATTTTTTGTTAGAACTAGTATAAATAATATTTGCGTGCCAGTGAAATATATTGGCACTCACAACACGACACAGAAGAATGACACATCTACACAGAAAACAAACACTTTGAGCCCTGAAGATGATCTCAATAAAGATCGAAACGTTGGCACGATAAAGAAAATATTTTCTAAAACCTACGTCACACCTGACCGCATCTCACGACCTCCAGATAATATTAAGCTAACGGTCTCTAAATACCACACATTACTGAGATATATTCATTCCTGATGAAAGAGATATATTCCTTAAAACCTCGAAGGAACTGTGTGCATTCTTTTCTGATTTGCTGACTGAATTCTGATGTTAATGACATTCTGTAACAGCAGAAATCTTTAATTAAAACAGTAATGAATCCAGTATATTTTTCTTGACTATACAAAATGCATCTAGACCTTTACTACAAGCTAGTAATTATAAGAGCAATGTAATGTTCTTATTATTTCTTATTTAAACAAGTTCATTTTATTATTTATTAACAAAGCATTGCTGCTATATTATTTTACATTCCTTCTACCTGTCGATGTACCTGGGGGCGGTTTTTGCCTATTTTGTTTCCATAATGTTATTTCACAAGTAACAAATAAGATATCAAATAATGATAGATTTGAGTTTTTTACTCATAAATAATACAAAGTTAAATAGCCAAAGCATTTATAATTAAGGTAAAACATTTTGGAAAAGTCAGAAAAACGTTTCCGTTTAAATATTCCTTCGGAAGTGCATAGGTTGTCAAAAGATTAG